CTGCAATATTTTTAACAGTGTATCTCATAATGCAGTAACTGAGTGCATCCTGTGCAGGGCAAAAGCCCGATTGACATAAAAACCAAGGATGTTCAAGGATTTTTAGATTTAACCATGCTGACCTTGAATTTAATAACAGAATGTTTGCTGCCCTTGAGAATTTAAGACACACAGTTAGCAACTAGCTGGTGAACAGAGCCAGGTATTTCCCTCAGGGGTTCGTGGAGAACACAGTAAGGATAAAATAAGAGTGAATATTGGGCTTATATTCACAAGGTGATAATATGTAATTACTGCATTTACAGAATGTTGCAGTTGAAAAAAATATTTTTTTCAGAAACACAATTTCAGTCCTTTATTTGGTGACACCTGAGGTTACATGTTTTAATAAAGAAGAAAATCATGTGGATAGTATACCCAAGGCAAGCTAAGCCAAGAGCACCTGTGATCAGAGCTCATCCTGTGTACATGTGGGAATGGTTTTCCATGCACAGGCCAGAATGCTACAGGCACTGTGACTATTTCAACTACTGTTAAATTATTGTTGAGCATGTTGGAGGTGTGCTGGTTCACAAAAACTGCAGTTAAACCCTATCACCTTCAGTTTACATTGACTGTTATTTTTGCTCTACTTCTTTTTATATAAAAATTAATCTGTTGACAAAACACTACAAAAATGTCCACGTGTTGCTGTGTAAAACCATTTTGAGCAATAACACTAACAAAGCACCGCTAAGCTTGATGAAAGTACAGCTCCATCATATGTTCACCTGCTGAATATAAAGTGTTTAACACAACATTCTTAAAAACGTTTGTTAAATACAGTTGCAGGAGAATAATCAGTAAACACGAACACTTCTATCAGAGACATAACATTATGAACACTGGATGCATGGATTGATTATTTTGAATGCCTTCTGTGTGTATAGGCAATAGGAAAACCCTGCAGGAAAAGCTCACTGTCAGACAGAATGAACTACTATATAAAAAAATAATTACTAAAGGCAGATTAAATGGCCAGTAGTGAACGAAGCCATCTGTAAATAAAGTCAAAAATGGGTTTGGTATAATGAACATTATAAGGACTAAATCATAATAATGTTTGCAGTCTAGTGTTTACAGTGATAAATGATACAAAACTTGAAATTCAGAACTTCTGACAAATATAAATTCTGACCATATGAAAAGGATCTGACAGAGAAGTCAGACAAGGATGGAAGCCAATAGTTAAATTTATATATATATATATATATATATATATATTGAAAACTACAGAATTAGGGTATATTTGCTCTGATGTATTAATTTTGCATTTTTGCAGTTCTTTCAACATGGTCAATTAATTGTTGATATAATTGATTTTTTTTCTATAAAGTCCATTAACTTTTATCCTGAGGCCAGACAAAATAGACAAACCAAACACAAATGCTATTATCAACTGCTGTTGCCAATTTAAATTAGAGACAGTGCCCTTAATCAAACTGTGTGCAATAATACACATAAAAGCATAGATCAACAAGGTTCAGCTACGCACCATTCAATTTAATGCTGAACCAAAAAATGCCACCCTTTTATATCATGGTGCTAATGTACTTCACAACATCAAAACATTTGTTAGGTTGTGTGATTGCTTTGTAAAGCTGTTTAGCTGATGACGCTAAAGACATCATTTTCGTTGACAGGCCTCATAAATCAAGAGTTGTCATGTCAGTTTTGTTTGTTTTTTTACCATATGCTTCTTTCCACTTTTTTTTTTTTTTTTTTTTTGTAGATGATAATTTTTATATATTTCCATTGCATCATTATTAATCACTCTTGGTATTGCATATATTCCCACCACTTTTGTCCCCTTCCACATTTGGCACCAGCTCTTTCATGCCTTTTCTTCCTGTCTCTCATGTTCCTCTGTCACAAGTGTCTTCGATGAAAGTTTCCTGCCACTGTGTGAGACACATCTGCATTGCAGTGCCGAGGGAAAAGCAGCAGCTGAAGGAGAAGCGAATGTGTATGAAGAGCTTGATAAAGGGATGCAAACAGAGGGCGAGAAAAAGGAACTCTAGCCTGTCATTTTCCAAAATAATGAATACATGAGTGACAGGAAAACATCACTTCATGCATCATTTGGTATATTACACCACTGTGGTTTTATTTATTTATTTATCTGCCTTTGGTGCAAAAACATTCCCATTTAAACATAAAAAAAATTGAATACAAACAACCATTTACACCTCAAAGTGCTGTCACAGGGAAATCACAGAGAAGGTCACCCACCCCCACCTCCCTCTGAGCCTCCATTATTAATGGCGTCATCATTTTTCCTCTGTTCACCCTATTTCCCTTCTGATAGTACGGCCTGCTTCATCGTGTTCTGCCATGTTTCTGTAATTGCTCCAACAGCCTGCCTTATGCTGAGCACATAGTTTGTTTTTGTGTGTGTGCGTGTGTGCGCCCATCCAATGGGCGTGTTGCGTGTCTCTAACTGTGTGCATATGCACATTTGTGTGTTGTTCTGTCTCCCCACCAGGGCCAGCTGTGAGTTTGTGGGGCAGAACCAAGCCACAGGCAAGCTCCACACAGAGAGTGTGACAGCCTCCAGGCCACCATTGGTTGATGACCGTGAAAACACTTGCGCTTAACGTAAAGTGAGCGACCGGCTGTCACAGTGAGGCAGTGCATTTATGTGCAGCCCTGACAACAGCACATGAAGACCCTATACAACTAGACTCTGCAGTGCTACAATAAACAACAAAAGGGACAGCCCTACAATTCATAATAGCAGCCACTTCAGACACCCCAAGTACGTACTGTAGCAAAGAGGGAGAATAGCAAGACACAACCACTACTAGTCATCACAGTCTTTGGAATTTTTTTTTTTTTTACTTAAATTCTAGTGGGCAGGAGTGAAAACCGAGAGTGGCTGGTAAACAAAGACAGGCATAGTGAGCACGCAGAATGTCTAGACAGTCGCATATGCCAGCCAAGGCCAGATAAAGTGAGGAGTAAGTGTTTAGAGAACTGCAGGAGCAGAGGCCAGTTTTGTGGAGGAGGTGTGAAGGAGTGAGTGACCAAGCGTGAGCACAGCTGCCTTCACCCATCATTAAATGAAACCACTTAAAGGAAAAAAGCTCAACTCAAAAAGGTCAATGCATGACACTTCTACAAAGCCCTGATGGTTTTATTTTGCCATCTGGAGAATAGTTTTGTCTTCGATGGAGACACAAAATGGTTTGAGTATGTGTCGGAAGATACTTTGCTCAAAACCCTGTATTTTTATTCAGAAGCTCAATTTCTTCATCTGTCTCATTCTCACCAGCAAAGGGGTTCCTGAAGTTAAACTGAGAAGCAAAAAATGACGTGCCAACATCATGTAGTAAGGAGGGATGATTGCAGAGATGCTTTTATCAATAATTTTAACCTCTCTGTGGTTAAATCAGACTTCTTTTACCCCCTACCCTCTTGCATTTCTTTCCTGCCTCCTTTTGTTCTCTGTCTGAACACACACACACACACACACATGCGCGTGCGCACACAAACACAGTTTATTATGCAGTAACATTACCAGATCCCCTTAGGCAGCTGTGCATCTCTGTATGACTGATGAGGGTAATTTCTCCCAAACAACAGAATGATCACTTTGGTGGTGAAAGCTACAGACCCTCCCTCCTCTCTGTCTTCCCTCTCTCCAGTTTTGTTTTAGTTTACAAAAAAAAAGGCAAGAAATGAAAAGTTATTTGTTACTATGTCTCCTGCAGTGTCTGAAATGGTTCTAGAGAAAAATAGCTCTCCCACCATGTACATATGAATAAAAAAATAAATAATTCTGCAGATCCAATCAATCTATTGATTCTTCAGTGATGATTCTTATTCAAACCCTGCTAAGACATACACATCCAGTTTCCACTTTGCCAGCTGGAATTGGGGGTGGACAGGGTTTCCTTATTTTTTCCTTGATTACCATAGGGATCCAATATAATACACATGCCACTATGAATTAGGCTCACAGTAAGGACTGGGCTGAGCCACAGAGAGTTTATACTGTCTGTGTACTACTGTGTACCATGGGATACACTGAGCAGAGAGTAGTTAGGACTTGTCTGCCTCTCTCTCTTGGCCTTATAGGTTCAGGCTCAGTGGGCTGTCTTTACCTATTCTCCCATCTGTCAGTCACACACAAAAACAAATCCACCTGTCGACCGAGAGTGTGGGCTGAACAGGGCAACGCTACAGCTGTCTGAGTCTGACTCTGTGCAGAAGGGAGCAAGCCAGCGCCCTCCACTGGCAATAGAACGCCCATTAGGATGCTTATTACCCCCACCTGTCAGCCGCATCTCCTCACCTGCACAGATTTGCTAGTCAGATAGAGACAGGCACTGTTAATACAGCACCCTGAACATGAAAGTCATGCCTCTAAGCTTTTTTGTGGTCCTTGTGTCCTTGATCACAAGGGCTCTCCAGCTTGGTAACAATATAACAACCCAAGCGTTAAGAGACTGGCATTCTTACCGCGCCACTTGATTGCCTCAACAATGAAGCTATTAATGCTGCATTATGTAAATTGTAATGGTAACAAACATCTAATGGGATAAAGGCTAAGTACAGTGCAATTTAATGCTGCTGACTTTCAGTGGCTCTTTGAAGGATGTTTTCAATTATAACAGAGCTAATTTAATTCATTGTTTCGTAGCTGAAAATGCATTTTTAAAGGTTCAGTGAGTCTCTATTTCAGAACTCAGGTTTAATCAGTCATGTACATTGAACACTGGAACGTCCTCTAAAGAGATTGACAAAGTTGCTGGGGATCTACGTTCTCAGTTTTAAAGGGACACAGTAGCCCTACCCTCTGCTTTTTTCCTCAGATGGCAGGCTTCAGTTGTGGAGGGGAGGGTGGTTCATCTAAAAGATGAAAAGACCTGTGCCTTTAAGAGGGCTGTCTCCCCTTTCCCTCATGCTCCCCCTCAACCACACAGACACTCCTCCTATGAGCATTTGTGAGGCAGCTCCTGTCCCTTATGTCTCTTGGTGGGGAACAGAACAGGCTTCCCAGAGCATCACTGGAGACCAGACAGAGCTCTAGGGAGGACACCATAGGTGCAGACCTTCATGCAACCCCAGCCTCTACAGTGGATGCCAAGATAAGCACAAGGAGAGAAAGCGTACACCTACTCACGCTGGAGTAAAACATCCAGGAGTCCAAAACAGGAGGTGGAACTTAACAGCTGGACAGACCAAGAGGCCAGTTTTGAGTTGAAGGCGCCACAATCAGCAGATCAAAATCAAGAGCACTGGACCGGATCACTAAGAAAAAGGTGGAGTCTTACTTTTGAGCTTTTTGTTTCTCTATAGAAAAGTTTTGTTAAAGAAGAATCAAGAAAGTCCATATCCTTCCTCCATATCATTTGCAGCTGTTAAAGATAAAAGCATCCTATGAAATGTATGCAAACAGAGGAAGGAGGATCATTTAGTTTTGTAATTATTATTTTTTAATCTATTTCCAGAGCACTTTCCAAAAAGTCATTTGTGGTATGAAATTGAGATGCTCTTTAAAGAACATCTTCAATGGTCCAGGCAGTGCTCTTAATTCACCAGCGTTTATCTTATTTCTCCAGCTTTTTCTCAGAAAGAAAGCATTAAAGACTTCACTGATATTGCTCTTTGGGAGCAAGTAATATTTCTTATATGAAGTCTTGAAACTTTACATCTGTTGACTGCAGGGAGAGAAAGGTGCCATATACATAAGAAAATGATGCTGAGCTGTTTTCCATGTGGGAAGAACGTGTGTCTGGACTAACACTGCAGTGGAACACTGAGGACAGCAGAAATGTTCCCAGGGTGTGGAGTGGTCACTGGCCAGAACCAGTGCTTTACCAAAGATGCTGTCAGGCCCCACCCAGGGCTTGACTCAAACGGACTGGTCAAAATGGAGAATGGGATAATCCTGGGGACGTTCCCGGTCTTCCAGGGTCAAACTTACAGCAATGCGGGCCAGCAAGCATCAGCCAATGTTTCCAGCCCGCTAAAGTCAGCACCACTACTGGTCCCTCCCCGTGCACTCAAACTAGGGCAGGAAGGGTTCAAGAAAGTCTGTCGGACTGAGGAGGACAGTCCCTGTCCCTTTCCAGGACTGGCCGCTGGGGTGCTGGAGATGCGTGTGAAGGAAGGAAGTAAAATCCGTAACTTAATGGGATTTGCCATGGCACGGATGCAGGGAGAAAAGGCTGTAAGTGGGGGAGATGTGAGTAGTGGTGGGCTGAGGCAGGTGGTCTTCACAGGGTCAGGTCGTGCAGTCACAAAGACAATCACCTGTGCTGAGATCATGAAACGAAAAGTGGGCTCTCTGCACCAGCTGACCAAACTGCAGTACAAGGTGGTGAAAGAGGTGTGGGAGAGTAGTGAAGAGGGGACATCTGAGATGACAGTGCGCAGGACTGTGCCCTCCATCAGCATCCTTCTTTCCAAAGACCCACTGGATCCCCAGGAACCAGGCTATCAACCTCCGGAGACCCTTAGTGCATTGTGGGAGGAGAAAGACGGTGTCGAATCTGCCTCGCAGACAGCATGCAAGAGACCTCTCGGACCTTTGTCATACAGCAGTTTCACACACTGTAAGAGAGTATGTTTGGGGGAAGGAGTCTCAGTCCTCCCTCCTCAATGACTGGCTGAGCCAGCGTCAAACAGTGGAGAGGACTGATTCAGAGGAGTTCATTCGGCGCTGCCCTCCACTCAAGCACAATGCTGAGACAATCAGAACACTCACTCAGACAGAACAATGCTTTCTCAGAAGAACTGAGTAGCAATTCCAGCCTCCAGAGGTCAGTTTGACTGGAACCTAAAAGCTTGCCTCTGTGTACACATAGCATTTATGGGAGGTGATTTTCAACACGCCCAACATGGTCTCTCACATCCACAAAACTGTGATGAAGTGTGCTAGCGTGCTATAAAATCTTTAACAGGTTCATATACCATTTTACACTGACAAAAGAAAAAGCCATGGATTGCACAGGCTTCAGATTCCTGGTTGCAGTAAACTATCTACAGCCTGTGGACAAAATCATTTAGTAGCATCATGTCACAATCATCTCTATTCCTCTATGATCTTAAGTGTAGCCTTTAAAAATTCACAAGGTAGACCCAAGAACATAAAATATAAACAGCTTAAAGCCACAGACATAACAAATGCAAAACATACCAATTTCATTTGTCTGATTATTAAATCTCATGAAAATAAAATTAAATAAATTCTTTTGTTCCAATAGAAATTTTGTTTTGTATGTCATCTTTCTTATTCACACATCAGTGAATTTTCAAAGCTGTGATTGAACAGAAAATCAGTGTGCTGATCCTTTGATAAGAATAGCGACAGTGAAATTTGTCTGTAGAAAAAGCTGATTTAATGGCAAAGCTGTTGATAAGGCACAGCTCCCAAACCAAGCCAGCCTGACAGAAATGCCTAGGGCAGAAATACAGGCAAAGATTATCATTAAGATAACAACATAACATCACACAACACAGTAGAGAAAAGGATTAAAACTAGGCTTGATAGAGGTTCGCACTACACTGAACCAAGGCAGCACAAACCACTCCTTCCCTTTTCAGCCTAGGCCTACTCACCCACTGTATCTATTGTAGACTACAGTCTCTACCATTTGTCAAACAAACTAATATGCTGAACAATGTGGTTTAAAAAAAGCCAAGTTTTCACTTTAACATTAGGCTCTTGTAGTTCACTGACATAAACAAAATGGCCGCAGACTTTCTCCACTTGACATCATTTATACATCATCTCTCTGCACTCTCACACCATATAGCTACAATTTAAGTTGCAAAAAGGCACCCAAGTTGCCCTAAACAAGACATTTAAAAAGTATCATTGTATTCAACTACTTACGAACTTTTTCCACTTAATTACACATGCCTTCTGGGGATAATAACTTAGACAAGTGGAACCTTGTCTGAAGCTTTTACTGTTGATCTTAATGAAAATCTGTAAACGCAGATATCGGCCTCTAAAAGTAAATGAATCAGAGTGACTCCGAACTGAGGCGATAACTCACTTACAGAGAAAAAGAGAGAAAAAAAGACAGAGTTCACTTTGCGTTCAAATTTATCTTTCGAAGGAATATAGCTTGTACTATTTCATATAGTGGCCAGCTTTTCGACAGCCTATGGAGAACATAATGATTAACCTCACTCTCGATCCCATTAAATGAGTCAGAGCACAACAGAGCACCCAAGGTTGAATAAGAAATGCTGTGACAGCAATACAGCAAATATGTAGCAAACTGCGTGTCCAGAGACTGCTGAAAGGTTATCACCTCGGGTCGTTGTTATCACAGAGTTAACAGCTTTCACCCAAGAGCCTATAGGACAGTCAGTTCAAAGAAATACTGCCCGTACAAGTTAATCTCAAATTGACCTGCATCTATTATCAAACATTAAGAATTCTGGGCCAATTACAAAATGCAGAGTGGTAACTAGGGATAACACCACAGTGCACCTGAGTGAGAAAACAGATAAAAGACACTGACAAAAGCAATATTCCAAAGCTAAATCCAATGTGGCTGGCACAAAATAGCATGGTGGAGGAGTCTACAAAGTGCATTATAAGAATGTGGGCAAGGTTATTTACAAGCTGAGAGTCCATTTTGCCACTAATGTTTGTTTTCAAAGATGCAGTCAAGGTGGATTTGGAGGAGATGCAGGCCCAGGATTAAAATGCTCTATTTGTGTTAAAATGTACTCTATGTATCTGAGTGCACACAGTATTTGCAACACCTGCTCTTTCCATAGAACAGACTAGTTATAGGAGAAAAGATAAAGATGCTTTCACTACTAATCAAATGACCTGTATCAGTATTCTTGAAGGAGATATTCAAGTCAAAGAAGGATTTTGGTTAGACATGGATTATATACTCCACTGAGTATATAGGTTGGATAATGCACTTATTTTTCTTGTGCCAGCTGGTACTGTAGCAGGTATAGAGATACAGTATCTGTAGAATGAGTTACTGTTTAAGAACAAATTGGATCTTACATGAACACTACTTCAAAATGTTAATACAGAGACACCCCACTATATTACACTACACATTATTTTTACTGATTAAATAGGAGCATCTTAACAAATATTTATTAAGCTGTTACATCAATTAAATCATTGAGGACAATGTTGTGTTAAAACTAACCGGTAGTAGGTATCTATTATGGCTAACACTACAGGAACTTTCTGTTTACCAAAGCCAATAACTACATGCACTGAATGTGAATAAATTCATTTTGAAGTTAACATAATGAAAGTGTTGGCACTCTATTCTTTCCTTCTCTGCTGCAGCAGCATATGAGAGTGAGGTCTCTGGGATGGCGTGGGAGTTCGCTATCTCCCAGCCTCCAGATGGCTCCGTCTTCTCTTATCTAGAAGAATGGGTGCTGCCTCAATTTTTCAACTCTCCTTATCTGGGAATCCTTTAAATTGAATATTTACTGGGCCTATGTTTTCTGCCTGTGTTAGCCCTCTGAAGTCGACATTCCTCTTGCTTGTTGAGACAGGCCAAAAGGTTTTTCTCACTCATACACTCTCTTTGTCTGCCTTGTCAAGTAATGGGACAGTGATTGATTATGTGATTGCCAGGAGAGAATGGAAGGTTAAGCAGTTAAGCAGAGAGCAGTGGAGACATATTGCAACAGATGGCCACAGTGGGAATATGTTCAACAATAGAGAAATGTCCATTACCCAAACATGACATCAGGCAGACCTCAATTTTACATCAGAAGTAAAATGGATTAAATTAATCACTTTCCAAACAGTGCATTGTTTCCCATACAGTGCACACTAGAGGTTAAGAGAACACTTAAGCAGCCACTGAAAACATCTTATTGCAATGTGACTGGCTGTGGTATATCTGCATAAACAAGCCGTGCCACAGCTACTCCCTGGTAAGTGTCTGGAAATGTCTTTTCAAAACCATTTCGTGAAATGCCTCCATGTTGGATTAATCAGCGCAGCTGAGGATGTAATTGCTGTGCTGAAGTCAAAGCTGTAAGAGCAGATAATGAACACTAACTACGGGGTTTGCCAGAATCCAGGACAAAAGAAATGAGAAGTTTGAAAACCAAAATGTGCATTCTTGCAAAAGCTCTGACAGAAAATGAGGACACACTGTAGACTATATAAAGCTCATTTAGAGAGAGACAGAGAAAAAAACATCATCCAATGACTCAGTGGATACTAAGAAGGGAAATGTAAAACTTGTGGTAGCTGCATAATAGAATGTAAATTGCATGTGAGGCACATCTGCTTTAAGGACTTTTTTTCAAGCTTTTTAAATTGTTAATGCATTTATTTATGTAGCTATCCACTTTGTGTATTACTGTATATAGGTATTTGATTTATATTCTCACATGAAGGATGGGCTTACAAAGGTGAAGCAAACCAGCAAGGATTTGTTCTGGGTGTTGCTGCCCTCTGGTGGACAACAAAGCTCCAACGTCACATGCAGAAATAAAGATATTTTGCTCAAGGTTGCCGTTTTTTGGTATATTTGACAGGCATTTATGGTCTTGTAAAACAATATTTACAATAAGCAAGTGGGAGCTGCAGGCGCTATTTTTTGGGTCGTCTAAATGGAAATCTGAATGATAGCATACTGACATGTTTTTCTCCTGCTTTCAAGTGCAAAGATTATACCCTTTTATAATCATTAACCTCCCCCTTGCAATTATGTGAACCTCAGATGAAATTAGCTTAAAGAATGTGAAATATAAGGAAGTCTCTTTTAAAAGGTGTTGATGCAAAAACAGGACAGGCTATACTTAGTGATTGATATTTGTGAAAGCTAGATTTGTAAAGCAAAAATGTCATGCAGAAACGTTTACACACATGCACAGTCCACTGATGCTTACAGTGTGCCCACACCAGTAAAGGTTAGATTTGTTCTGTTTCAGTAATGTCCAGTAAAACGTGGGCCAGTCATACTTTGACCTCTGACTCCTCAGGAAAAATGTGTACTGTATGAAGAATATGCATTTTTACTGTGTTTAATACTGCTCTGGGTGTTCAGAAGGGAAAACATGCTGAGTGTTATTGTGCAGTGCTCCTGTGTTGCATATTAAAATGATTTAGTCATCTCCTCAGCACTGACAGAGTGATGGACATCTGGTATGAACGGTATGATGGGATCCCCCTTTCCACTGTGTTCAATATAATGACTGAAAAGAAAGCACAGCAGGTTTGTTAAATATCCCACCATTTACATTAAGATATTAATTACCTTTTAGGTTTCTGCATGTAAATTCCAGTCTTTTCTTGGCGTGTGATTCTGCAGCCATCCAAAAATGCAGTTTTTAGAAGTTATTGTTAAAAGCAGCACAATTAATTTTGTCTGGTAGATGTGATTTAAAAATAAAAAAAATAAAAATACCTGAGGCCAGTGGCATTTGTTAACTGGGTACTGTAGTCTTTGTCTCAGACTCATTTAGAGTGATTCTCTGTGAAGCTACTGTATGTCTGAGTTTTAAGAAAAGCATCATTATTCCAAAAATGACTTTTCTGAAGTGGTTCAGCTGATGGTAGCTTTACCCTGTGCCCATATATTCCACCACATGAACTGTGCTTTTGCTACTTCACCATTCAACATTGTGCTCAAGCAGCAGCATTATAGATATTAAACTGGCAACAGTATTGGACTTTTTGAAAGGATTTTCTTTATTTGATAAAGAACAAAATAAAGAAGATCTTTCCAATAAGTCAACTAGTGTTGCCAGTTTTTTGTTTTTTCTTTTGCATTTCTACACCAAATTATTTAAAATACAGCAGCCAGCTACACTAATAAAAAGAATTTGGCTCAAGCTCTTTAATCCTACCGTGAAAACTCAGTTTAACATGAGGGATTTTTATCTCTGGTATTGCCAGCCACATTCCACACCAAGGTCGACAATATGACTAAATGATTTGGTTAATTTGAATTCAAACTGTGTCAGCTGGGGGTCCACTCCTCACAGTCTGAGGACTGCTAGAGTAATATCAACACAGTGGTGATTACTCCATTGAAGCAGTAGGGTGCTCCAATCAGAGGTGAATCACTCTCCTCATTACATACTACAAGGCCAAATCTCAGTGGGTGGACCACAGAATCAGGCTTCACATCTTCCCATTGAAATTAATTCAAATTCAGCTGTGGCACCCCGATGGTTCCTGTCAACATTAGACCCATTCACATTTGCAACAATCCACCCCAAACTCATTAAGCAGAAGCATAGTCAAAGTTTGAAAGAATGTAAAGACAGGGGTCTTCAGGCCAGATTGTAAGCTGCAGTACACAATATCAGTATCCAAGAGTGATTCCTGTTAAGGCAAAGCAAAGTAATCTAACCAAGGTACTGCTCCAGGTGAGTGGTACCTGAATGTATCTACTCCTGTGAACCGAGACACGGGCAGGCTCCAGGGTTGGGTACCAATAAGTGACAACCTAAAATTCATATGGATAAACTTTGGACTGGGGTTTTCCTCAATATCAGATAGCAATGTCTCCTACCGAGAGGAGGTACACAAACTGATCCTGTGGTGTTCTGCAAATAACCTGACACTCAACACAAGAACTGATCCTGGACTTCAGAAAGTGCAAAGCCAACCACTCACCCCTCTTGATCAATGGAGACTGTGTGGAAATAGTTCACAAGTTTAAATTTCTGGGAACTGAAATATCAGACAACCTCTCCAGGTCAATGAACACCTCAGCCATTGTATAGAGGGCTCAGCAGCGTCTGCACTTCCTGAGAGGAGAAACAACCTGTGTGGAACCCTGCTGGTGGCTTTTTACCGCTGTGCAGTATAGAGTATATTAACATACTGCATCACAGTGTGGTACTCAGGTTGTACAGTGGCTGACCAGAAGGCTCTACAGAGGGTGATCAACACAGCACAGAAAATCAGGGGCTGCCCTCTTCTAGTTTATCTTATTTACACCTAACTGCATACTTTTTTGTAAAAATATTGTTGTTATATGTGCAATATATATGTGCAATATCCATACATGTATATGTGCAATAATATATTGTTTACTGGTTTTTATGTATTTTTATAATGTTTTTACGAGTGTAGTGTGATTGAGTGAATGTATGTTCTTTCACAGTGATGTGATGAGCAATTGTAATGTCATTGTATCCTGAATACAATGGCAATAAAGGTCAAAGGTCAAAGTGTTTATTTGTCATATGCACAGTTAGGAAACGTGTGTTTCCCTGTACAATGAAATTCTTACTTTGCCGTCCACATGAATGCCACAAAATACAAATGAAATATAAAGTAGGTGAATAAGTAACACAAAATCTAAGGCATAAAGGCATCTTATCTTATCTTAATAAAATTTCCTACAGAATGCACCATATCTTACTTATATTGTAGCAATGAAAGTAATCACACTAAAGAATCCAACTCATGCAAATACTGTTTATCACATTCTAATGGGACAGTTTATATATAATTAAGTGGCCACAAAATAACCTATATAGCTGATTAACTATAAAAGATAAAGTCTTACCTTGAGATTGTGTTCCTGCCAGGTTTTGTTTTCTGCTTCAGTTATCAAACTCCAGTTTTTTCTTGAGGCAGATATCACTCCTTAGTCTGAGCAGGCCCCTGCAGCTGCAGCTCCCTGAAAGCACCGTTCTCAGTGACTTCAGTGTAGTAGGCTGAGATTGGTCATCAGAGCCATATCTCTCTGCACTTTAACTGCACCTTGCATAAGTAAAAGTAATTGCAGGTCACTTGGCCTTGACAACATGTAGCCTACTGTAACTAATGTTATGGAACATCACAAATGGATTTCATTTGCTTTGGTGTCACGGTCATGGTACCTGAACCACAGAGGCACTATTAATTATGCGCATCTGAAAAATTAAACATTTGGTTTATTTTTTATTTTCTACCGACTTACCTTCTCTCGCCTTCATAAGCCTCGCTTTCGCCTGTCATTTTTGGGCAGTTTAACTGTTCTGGCTAACTTTTGCTGCGCCTTGTGAAGTTGTCTAAAAATCTGTTTAGTAGGCCTGCGTATTTTGTGTTGTCAAACTATCCATTTTACAAAACAAAAACACGGTAGCATTGTGACCAGAATGTAACCATCACCCCAAACTGTTACAACACTGCACGAGAAACAACTGTCTGGACCAGCCCGACCATTCATTCATTCATTTATTCATTCATTCATTCATTCATTCATCTTCTATACCGCTCAGTCCCAAACTGGGTCCCGGCGGGGGGGCTGGAGCCAATCCCAGCTGGCAATCAGGCGAAGGCGGGGTACACCCTGGACAGGTCGCCAGTCTATCTCAGGGCGGACCAGCCTGAGCATGTTTGTGATATTTATTACATTGTTTATTTGACCAGCAGATGGCAACAACAAATCCATTAAGTGATAATGATGCTTTCAGGTGCTACTCCAGAGTTCGAAACTCCAAGGAAAGTGGCTTATGTATGAAACTTAAAGTGTTGGATGTTTTTCTAGTGCTAGCACCTGTGGGATCGGCTACAGCAATCTGCTATTGTAATGACTGAGGTATGAAGTCTACAGTAACCTCTGTTGACAAAACACATAGGAATCCAAAAGTGTGTATGGGCTTTTATTTTTTAATCGACTGGGTGTGAATGCAGCACCACTGCCAGTCGTGTATATGTTTGTTTTACAGTCCAGGGCAGAGAGTTGGAAACTTCTGATTGTGTGCAGGTTTACAGCAAGTAGCTTGCAACAGACCTGTCTGGTAAGTCTACTGTGTAATTTGTTTCTATTATATAGTTAAAAATTGTTATTGAGATGAAGTTATTGGTTTACTGTCCAGTGGGTATTTTCATCTTCATTCATTTTCATTAATGAGTTAACACTTAAAGTTGTTTTAATAGTATTTTTCTGTGTGGACTTACTGTTTCTGTCCTAACAGTGAATCTCGCTGGGGCATCTCATTAGAGTTATGGTCTTCTATAATGATACTATCACAGTTTATTTCTAGTTGTCAGTGTACTGTTTCTAAAAGGTAATATTCCAGAAGCATCTGTGCCGTGAAATGTTTCCATCAAAAATCAATTTCAAGTCCATAACAGTCAATGTTAACTAGACTGTAAGGCTTTTTTGTGTGCGGCTGTGTGTTTCTTCTGTTGTCAATTATCTGCAGTGTACTGGTGTGTTTTCTCTCTTCAGAATATGCTTGCTCAGAAAACATTAACAGTTGCTTCCAGCATCTTCTGGACATGGTCACTTAGGCATCTGGTGGTGCTCTTCTCTCTGTGTGGTTTCATAAATGGGTATTCTGACAGAGATAGAGTACAGGACTTGATGTCCAGATATCCTCTTATTGATGGGTAAAGGATTTTTGTGTCCTTTCAGCAAATGAATTACATTCATGGAAATACCGTTAATCTGATTTAAAACGCTAATTCCGTCTGGGCTACTTCCCTCTCCTCCTCTCTCACTTCATCTGCCAGACATAATGACCTAGCTCTCCAGCTGAAGATACTACACAACAATCACCTGACCCAAATTGACCTTCATAATGTCAGCAAAATGGCCACTGACATCACCCGTCTCCAAGCAGGTCATGTACAGGCACAGGTATTGTAGTTTAATCAGTCTTTCACTTTTCGTGCTGCTCTGTTCTAAAATGGGGATTACACGTATGCTGGTTTTAATTAACAAGAAGAGACAGCATCTATTAAGTTCATGTTGTAGAGAGGTCAACCTAAGAATGACACTTAAATGTCTCTTCTGTTCTGTTGTGTGATATCCCTGTCCCTTTGTCAGATGTTTTCAGTCTATGTGCTGTGTGGGGCCCAGGACAAGGATGCAGTGAGACTGACACTGGAACAAATAGATGTGATCAGACGCATGTGCACTGAATACCCAGACTTTGAGCTGGTCACATCTGCTCAGGGTATAGTACACCTCAAGATGGGAGTACATGCTTACATGCTAGATTTATATAAAAAAATATTATAGAGATGAGAATAGTGAGTTAATAATAATAATAATAACAGCCATTTGTCTAATTATGATTTAGATGTTTCTAGTAGAGATTTCTATAAAAACACAGCCATAACCCTGTGTGCCATGAACGTGCATAGCCCCATGTGTCTTATGTAAAGTCCATAAAACAATGGCAACTATAATGATCATAATTACCAAAGATTTCTCACTTTATGTGAAAAATGGAATAAACTGTGGAACATGGTGAATTCTTTGACAAAATGAAAATTAATGCTTATTTAGTGGCTTGGAACAAAACTTTTCACTGGTTTGTACTGAATGTTATTTCTGAATGAATGACAGTGCAACCTTAGAACAGTTAATGTGCTTGATTATGTGTGTATGTGTTGTACGTGTGTGTCTGTCACTGCAGAACTGAAGGATTCTGAGATGAGGCGTAAGATAGCATGTCTATTAAGTATTGAAGGGGGACACTCTATTGACAGCAGCCTGCCAGCGCTGCGGATGTTTTACCAACTTGGGGTTCGCTCCATGGCCCTAACACATACCTGCAATACACCCTGGTATTTAACAGCATCAGTCACAATGCTATAGTATATTTGAAATAAAGTGCTATAAATTGCATAAATTCAACATACCTTAAAGACTAAACAGAAGTTTTTTATGTATGAGTGAAGGTCACTTATCAGTACTAGGAAGAGGACAACACAGGACCTCTATCTTTAATACAGGCATGTTTAAAAACTCAGACCTGTGTTTACTACTGAAGCATCTGATGCTAAGTTAGAAATGAACTAAATGACTAGCAATAGCCATGCAGTTTTTCTAAATACAGAAAATGGAATACCAAGACACTTTCAGCCTGAAAAGGTTTGGTTAAAGGTTTGACTCAGTGGATAGGTCAAATATCTTTACATTTTGTTTTTCCTTCCAAACTTTACACTGCATGTACCTGAATGAGCTGAAGCTGCCCAGTTCCAATGTCCAAAATATGGCCATAGTGACATAGATTATTTCTAATAATGCTGCCTGAGGCTTTTATGACTCATGGTTTGACAGTACTTTTATTTTTCCACTGCAGGGCTGAATCATCCTCAAAGCGTTATAATGTCTATCAAAGAGACAACCACAGCCTAACATACTTTGGGAAGGTAAGCTTAATCCTTATCAATTACAGAAGATAAAAATGTTTATCATTTCAAAAGAAACTGATTATACTGGACAACAGCAATTAGAGGACTTGTAAGTTACTACAGGTCCTCTGTAAACAGACTCTTGTCAAGAGAACATTTAGTATGAACAGTGTTAAGCTACTTTAATGACAAGATCCAGTTTCTTTACCACAATCCATTAATCCATTACGATATTGCTAGCATAGGTGCAGTATTTGGACTTGACTTAGAAAAACAAACAAACAAGAAACACTGCTGCTATTATCACAACGACTACTCCTACTGCTACTACTATGTACAACTACATACTTCTATCATAAAAACTTGTTATTAAAAATGCTTTACGGGGTGTGATAAATGACACATATGTGTCTTCGATTCTGCTGGCCCTCTCAACTGCAGCATGAAAGAAAACCTGGAATATAAAGAAATGACGCTCTGATCGACCGTTGGTGGGAAAGAAAGGGTAGTTTATTAGGAGATATGAAATAGTGTGAATGATCGTGGGAGAAAGGGGTCTCTTTCTGCCTTGTCTTCCTTGTGAACTATAACGTTAGTGTTAGTCATTTACTGTCGTCCTGTTTTGGATGAGAAGGTTTGGGAAATCGATCAGCCCCGCTTTGTGTGTGTATGTGTAACCATTTCCTGCTGTCAAGTGACCCCCTTTGCTCTCATTAAACTGTAAATACCTACTTTTTTGGAATGTATTTTTAGGCCGTGGTGGAGGAGATGAACAGGCTGGGAATGATAGTGGACCTCTCCCACACTTCTTGGGACACAGCCTGGGCTGTGCTGAACCATTCCAGGGCCCCTGTTATTTTTAGCCATTCATCCTCCTACACCATCTGTAACCACAGCCGCAACGTACCCGACTGGCTGCTGCATGAGCTGGTGAGAAAGCCAATTACTGAATGATTAATTGCATGCTTATTGTTTAATTAAATCTTATCAATCAAGTCACAGATCCATTCATTTAAATTGTAGCTTGTATTTATACCTCTGACAAAGAACCTGCAATACAATATACCTTCACTGTTAATTTCTTAATGTGTCAGGGTAAAAAAAATCATGAACAGATTTTAACCATTACATAGTTACTCTATTTTAGTCTACTAACAGTCAGTATAACTGATTCTAAATACTATGGGTATATTCCAAGGTCAAGATGTTGAGTTAACATCATATTGATGGGTTGTAATTGTCCCATATGTTCCATAATTTCCATGAACATGTTCACTTCACACCAGTTTTCCCCACTAGCCTCAACATACACATAAGCAAACATGCACTAACATGAAGTGCCTGAAACTGACAAACTGGGTAACATTTAAAGATGTAAAATAGATCAACTGTACTTTGTACATTTTAGTTTGTTCTAGTTGGCAGTCAGTTGAACGTGTTGTACAGGGTTTTCAAAATAAAATAAGGACTCACATTAAGATGAAACACACCATCTGGTAATAGCATGCGTTTTTTTTCTCCAGCATAATGTCAGCCTTTAAAAAAAACAGATGTTGCAGGAATTTTATGACTCAAAGCTCCTGTGTACTTCCCACCATTCTCTAGAATTTAACTACACATTTATCTTGGTGGTGTGGGGAAGACATACAGCAGACATACTGCTTTATCTTGGTTGTCATGAAGTTGAAGATCATGAAATCCAATTCTCATTGTATTGCTTAACGCTTTTTGAAGCCAAATACCATCTAACTACCAATAGTATCAGTGTAGCTTTTATACACTGTACTTGTGTAATCCCCTTTAGCCCCCATCTAGTTCTCTGTTTCTTTTAACTACAAATACCAGTAAGAGATACAGTATAATTACATCTGGCTTATCCCATCTCCAGTATGGTTAGCAGTAGCATACTGCCTAAAGTATTTTTTTCTGCAATGGAAACAATGCCAGGCTCAGTACAATGTACATTATTTCAGTATAAAAGTGTGCACAAGGAGTTAAAGCAAATGGTTGTTGAAAATATCTTGCCCCCTGTTTAAATGATTTCTCTGGCCGACATCAGAATGGCACGTTTGCAAACTTATAACCCCCCTGAAAAACATGACGAAATGAGTTTTTGATTTGCTTGTTAATGTACTTTAGGGATGCACAGTACGTCAACCTGTTGTTGCAGGTTAAAAAGACTGAACTTATCAGCCACAACATTAAAACTACCTCGCTATTATTTTTATTCATAGTTTATTTTTCTTGATATTGCTTCTTTATGTGTGGCACTTGTGTGTTTCAGAAAAGGAGCCGAGGGTTGATCATGGTGAATTTCTACAACAAATTCATTTCCTGCAGGGATGAGGCTAACATTTCTCATGTGGCTGGTGAGGCATCCATTTTGTGTCTATTTATTTATTTATTGTTATGTAGCAGACCTGGAGTTTGTATTTGATTTATTATTCCACTTCGGTTTTACAGACCATTTTGATCACATTAAAAAGGTGATTGGAGCTCAGTCAATAGGAATTGGAGGAGACTTTGACGGCGCTGAGAGGTAAGAAATATTTATTGCAACATACAGGTAACTAGAAGCACTAAGTCGAAGGTAAGTGGACATAATGTTTGCAAACAGCTAATTTACATTGCTGCTGTTGCTTTAGTGCATACCCTATTACCGGAATGAGTGGGAATTGAACGCCAACTTACACGTAGTAAACACACAATGCTCCAGTGCCAGTACGGTACATGTGTCTCTGACAATCTCCAGACAACATTTTTCAGAAGTTGTTGTTGAACCAAATCAGTTTAATGCTTTTGTTAGTCTCTCATGATATCAGCAATTTGGCTGCCTCAGCTGTCAATAGACTGAAAAATGGGAAAAATCAATAACTGTGTACTGCTGACTGGCATTAAAAACAGAGGGTGCTGCAGTCGATTTGTTGCACAATGGTGGGCATCAAATCTGTTTTACTCCCTGCACGCAGACACAGTCAATTCCAAACAGGAATATCAAAGAACAAATAATGCTGAAGGGCTTGAAGTGTCTATTGTTGTAATTACTTATTCAGAATAAGAAATGCCTAAAGCAATACCAAAACTATCAGACTGAGTGATTTCTTTGCAAAAGCAATTCTTTAATCAATTTCTTTCTTTCTTTCTTTTTTTCCCTTGCCAACAGCTTTCCTCGGGGTTTAGAGGATGTGTCAAAGTATCCTGCCCTGATCCAGGAACTCCTGCAGAGGAACTGGACTGAGAATGACTTGGCTAATGTCCTTCGAAGGAACTTTCTGCGAGTGTTTGAGGAGGTGGAGAGGGTAAGCTGCAAGATGTTTATTTTATATCAAAGGCATGCCTTCTCCGATAAATGATAGGTGGGTAACTGAAAGGTATATTTTCACATCATTGCCAACCAGGTGTTTCAGCTGCAGAGAAGGATAACAGGCTCTACTGTATGTCTGGCAGGAAAAGACCTTAGCATTCATAGGTATCAAATATTGCACAATACATTTCATACTGCGTTCTTCCTAAAACAAAAGGCATTCTTCTGTCTGCACACTAACCACCTTATTTCATGATAGCATTTTCAACAGTTTGTGGCCACTCTGCACTAAATTGCATTTTCAGATTCAACAGCAGTCTTCTTGACCTTGTGAGATTAATTAACATATATTATAGATAAAAAGCTTTCTTTGCGTTGCACACTGAAAACATACTCAGCACAGAGTATACTCAAATGAACAGCACAGGCCCGTCCAAAAGCTGAGCCATTTTATACATCACCTCTCTTGTGTCACTGTTCTCCCCCACAGGTTCGTGATCAGTTACGTTTGAGCCCACCCAGTGAGGTCCAGATCTCTTTAGTGGAGGTGCAGAACCCCTGCAGGCTGGTCCTCAGACCCCCTAGCTCCAGAGTGCTGCCCTCTAAGGAGAGTCCCTCCTCCAGTGCTCAACACAGACCACTAGGTCTGCTGGTCATAGTTCTGTTGCCTTTCATCCTACTTATGATTGAATGAATATTTAGACTCTCAATGCAGCTGAATCTTTTTTAAAGTGCCTCATTTTATTATAAATATAGAGAGCTCAACGCGTTTGTTGCAGCCATTTGTAGGTCATCAGTTACTCCACAGGTCACTACAAATAAGAAGAGTTTCTTTCTTAGCACCAGTACAAAAAAGTTGTTTGCAAATTATGTATTCTTAGTTTTTGTGCATGGTTTTTAATCTATAGTTGGTCAGTTATGCAACAGCTGGTGCTGAAGTCATTAGGTCAGGGATAGTTCAGGTAACAAATCACTTATGGTGCAGATGAGCGTACAATGTTGCATTATCATAATTTTGATATATTTTTTTCTATGGTGTTGTGAAAGGCATCAACAAAACAGCACAACACTTCATAAATGGTTCTCTTTATTTGATGTTAGGGAAGTTTACAAGTGTAGTATGCATTTTAGTGCAAGCTTATTTTTTCATTTCATTATCTGCACATTGACATAACTGAAACCAGATCTTTAACTTAAGATAGCACTTACTCAAATCAACACTATGAAAACCTGCTGTGTTAAGATTCAGGTGGAAAACTGCACTGCTAACAAAGTTGAAATAAATTTGCTGTGGTAAACTCATTTTGCAGTTTTATTAAGGGCTACACCATGTGCGTGATTTTCAGATAACCACGGAGTTGTACCATAACAGCTTCATCACTCTTCAAGCATTAATACTCAGTTTCACTGAAATTCTGCCAACATCAAATCTCCATTTAGTATTACCTTTAATTAGCAAAATAGGTATATTTGGATTGCTGGTAAGTGACAATGGTTTAAGTGGGATAATCCATGTATGCTGTCCTGAAAAAAATATGTTTTCATTAAAATCTATTAAAATGGATGGAGGACCACAATCATTTTTGCATAATGTGTAGTGATTGTAAGAACTGCACACTGTGTCATGGGTTATCCTTATTCCTAAAACCCCCTCAGCCTTGTGAATAGAAAAAGTTGTTCGCTATACTATTTGCTGCTCTGACATACTGATCAGACTCAATGTCACAGAAAAAGCCATATGCTTTTCTTTCTTAACACAAAAATCCATCCAAAGAAAGTCATAAATTATACTTTAAAAAAACCTTTATGATCTCCACATTCACAAACTTGATTCTGTGCCACCTACAGCACAATCAGCGTTGTTATCTACAGTAACACTTTATTTACCTCAGTGGGGAAATGTTGAAACAATAAATAAATAAATAGAGAAGTGCTTCCCAAATAATCAAACAGCTGCTTTAGACAAAAAACTGGCATACTATTGAAACAGCTGTATCAACATGTACTACTCAAGATAGTTTTGGCTGTCAAATATAGGTAGGTAGGTTTATTCATCTATCCATCCATCCATTATATGCGCTCATCCACATGAGGGTAGTGGGGAGCCAATTATAGCTGACACTGGGAGAGAGGCAGGGTACACCCTGGACAGGTCTCCAGTCTATCACAGGGCTGACATTTAGAGAACAACCCCATAAACACACACTCACTCCTATGGGCAATTTAGGAGTCACCACTCAGCCTAAGCTGCATGTCTTTGGACTGTGGGAGAAACCCGGAGAGAACCTACGCAGGTACAGGAAGAACATGCAAACTCCACACAGAAAGGCCCCGAGTCGGCCGGGACTCGAACCCGGAGCCTTCTTGTTGTGAGGTGACAGAACTTATAAGAAAATGCTGTTTGCGTCAGTTTGACAAACAAGTACAGATTTTCTGAGGGAGAAAAATAATTGCTTCATTTGTAAAGAATGACAGCGCCACAAACATGCAGGGGAGATACTGTATGTACACAAATGTGTCTACAAAAATATAATAAACCTGTTGTGTACTTAAAAATCCATACTTCAGTAAAAGTGTTTATCTATTCACAACTGTGTGGCTGCAGAGCAGATGCTGAGTGTATTCTGATGAGGCCGAGGCTCATGTGCAGCGACTCCTGACTGGTCATGAGTAGATAGTGATGACCTCCCGACCTC